ACTGTGACGCTTAATGAAGAGTGTTTGGCCGTGATACGGACAGATTTGCTGAAGAAGCTTAAGGATCCAGGTTCGTGTACTATCCCTTGCTTTATAGGAGATCTTACTTTTGATAGGGCCTTGGCTGATTTGGGTGCAAGCATTAATTTGATGCCTCTTGCTTTATATGAAAAGCTTGCACTTGGTCCACTTAAACCTACACGTATGTGCATTCAGTTGGCTGATCGATCCGTAAAATATCCCCAAGGGATTATTGAAGACGTGTTGGTTAAAGTGGACAAATTTATTTTTCCGGTAGACTTTGTTATTTTGGACATGGATCACGATCGGGAGGTACCATTGATTTTGGGCAGACCATTTTTGGCAACTGCCCGAGCGCTTATTGATGTTGGAGACGGTAAGTGATCGGTATTTTTCTTGCAAGTGCACAAGATCGATGTAGTAATAAAAATAACCCAGAGTAAACCGGGGTCGATCCACAGAGACACGTGAATTTTCAGCACTAAAAATAAAAATGATTGGTTTGGAACTAAATCTATGATTTAATAAATAAATTGATTGCTAGATTTTTTTCCCAATAAATAGGCGCAAATATAATTAACAGAGACACAAAAATTATGAATTCAGAAACAAATAATAGCTAGGGGATTGGTTTCACCATCATGATTATGCAACCGTTATCTTATCATTCAAGCCTGAATTTATGAACACGGTACCACTAAAGTATTCCTAATTTCAGTTACGACAATTAGGAATAGGCTTAATCTACTACGATCCCAATTACGGCTCACGTTAAAATAGACTAAACCCCCCTTCACCGCAAAAGCACCTAAACTATGTCATATAACACCATACATGCTTCCATTCCGGTGATTATATGTTTATTCTCAAAATACATGAATCATGCTTCAACTTTCATTCCTTCACACAATTCTGAAAAATCTATTTATATGTTGGCCACACATAAAAATAGTCAAATAAATCCAAAGGAATAAATCACACAATTCAAACTGAAATCAAAGGTTAAAGTATCACAATCATGTGGCTAATCCCCTACCCCTAGCTTGAGAGTTTAGCCTCTAATAAACATAATCACGGAAAAGTAATTGATTGAATTCATGTTCAAACTGATAAAGAGAATTGATTAGAACCCTAAATTGGAGAACTTTGAACTTCTTCCTCCGGAGTTGTGCAGCGTCCCAACGTTCTTCTTCTTCTTTTTCTCTCCTGCGCAGCCTGCCTCTGTCTATTCCCCTGCTGCCCTTTGTTCTTTTCTTTTCTTCATCCGCCTTTTTTCCCTCGTTTCCTCTACTGGTGCAGCCAACGTTTCCAAGCCCTCACATCTCAGGCCCAATTTCTTTTTCCTTTGTTTTCACATGTACGTAAGTGGAGCCCCCTTAGCAAACTGAAATTACCAATTCTAATTGTAAATTATAGCTAAAAGTATATTAGCTAAAAATGCTCCACTAGCTCTTTTGTGTGTCCAGTGAAAAAATAGGACTAGCTGGTCTAACTAATCAGCCCGGTTGAGTAGGGTCCCACTTTACTTCAGCAATTGCATTGTTTGGCTTCGGGATTTTTACATCAACGCTTTGACCTTTCATTTGAGTCGGGAGTATTCCATTTTCCACCTAAAATAATAATAAATCATTCAAAGTACTCATTAATAAATATAATCAAAGAATTGCGCATAATAAAACATAAAACTCCCAAAAATGCTCTAAATGATAAAGAAATCAAATACTATTATGGGGTATAAAATGAGACTATCAAACTCCCCCACACTTAGCACTTGCTTGTCCCCAAGTAAGAATCATGACTTCGTCTAAATACATAGCCTGTCAACCTAACTCTAAATAAAACTTAACAAGCACATACATGCAAATAAGCATATTCACAACCATCTTTCCGTAACTGACTATAAGCAATTCATTAAAAAAAATCATCATTCAAGTCGCTCAGGAATCAAGCAAACTCCCTAGAAGTTTCAGCAACCTTTTTCACCTTCACCAAGAAACTGCACATGGTCAAAGGCCTGAAATTCTAGTCATTGTGAGGAATACAAAACGGACCCATTGTGCTAAAAAACAGTTCACGGACACTTTAAAGAGATGTATGCATGGCACTTACATGACCGAGATTATCATTTATTTCTATGCAATGAGCGAACACGGTGTACAACTAAGCTCAACCGTTTTCAACACAAATGTGTATCAACGTATACTTGAAGTACGAGGAGGGACAGGTGTATAAATTCCACAAGTCTCCGGGTTCAATTGTTAAAAATGCAGCTCTTTGTCATGTTGACACGGGAACACCATTTTTTTCGGAAGATCCCCAGTCTCATCTTATTGTGCTTTCACACTTACGCTTTTTGACTGGTTCACCCATGCACTTTTTCGAAAGCTAAGAGGTCTCATTGTTTTTTTTTTTGGACATTATCCCATTCTAATCCCGGTTTCACCAAAGAGTGCGCCAATTAAAAGCGTGAGTCCATGCTCGCAATGCAATCATTAAAACATCAAAAACTCGGAAAAGAGACTGCTCATACTCCGATTTCAAGGCAGCGGAACAATGCCCAAGATGGGCTACCAAAACAACATAAATTAAAGATTTTAATGAACACTTCTTTTTAACACAAAAACTCCCAATTAATACTCCTCACAGAGATAAAAAGTAGGCCATTGTACCTCATTATCTTAATCAGCCCTTGTCTTAAGCATCAAGATCTGCCTCTGGTTGCTCATCCAAAACAGTTTGAAATCCTCCAGAACGACTATTAATGAAAACTAGTTAATGAAAAGATTATAACTAGTTACACACTCAGATGGATGAAACTGTGCCTAATTACATGTATGCAAGAGTTAAGTTACTGTCAAGAATTAATGAGACAAGTTGGGCATTTCTGGAAAAAAAAAATCACAGATCCAAGGGGAACAACGCTAGGAGGGGAAATCACGATTTTACAATTCAAGTTAAGTCCCTCCCTCACACTTAAAGTCACATTGTCCTCGATGTGAGAGAATGAAAAAAAAACACTGGAAAAAATAACGAACTTCCCTGAACAGATACATTGCAACTATGTTGCTCCAGCGAACTCATCGGGAAACCTACAACTAAATGCCACCTTTTTTTTAGAGACCTGCACTTCAGAAAATGAGAGAAAATGTTCCACAAGGCTGATCAGAGTCAAACCTTGATAAACCTGTGCATATCATCAAAACTTATTCACTGAAGCTCCCCCACACTTAGGGGTGGTTAGAATGAGAATATAATCTAAAAGGTGGAGAAGAACCTGCAGCAGGAAAATTACTTTTTTTTTTCATTTTCAGTTTTTTTTTTTTGGTTTTTTTTTTGAAAGAATACTAATAAATATAAGGAAATAAAATGAAGTAAACAAAACCTTGGGTTGCCTCCCAATCAGCGCTTCTTTAATGTCATGAGCCGGACATTTGAACTTCTTCAGTCAATGAGCATGGAGGAACAGGCCACTTGCATATTTTCAGCATCGTAGTATGGTTTTAACCTCTGGCCATTAGAGAGAAAAGGTGGGTTGTCACCCTTTTTAATCTCAATGCCGCCATGTGAATGTACTTTAGTCACAGTAAAGGGCCCGGACCATCGAGATTTCAGTTTTCCCGGGAAAAGCCGCAATCTGGAATTGAATAGCAACACCTTCTGGCCTTCATGAAACTCCTTTCTGTTGATGTGCTTATCGTGCCAAGCTTTTTCCCGCTCCTTATATATGCGCGCGTTCTCGTAAGAGTCCCGTCTGAGTTCCTCAAGCTCAACTATATCTAGCAGCCTTTTTTCTCCAGCAAGTTTGGCATCCATATTCAGCGCCTTGACTGCCCAGAAAGCTTTGTGTTCGATTTCAACCGGGAGATGACAGGACTTCCCGTAGACTAATCTGTACGGAGACATCCCTAAGGGTGTCTTATAGGTTGTGCGATACGCCCAAAGTGCGTCGTCTAGTCGTAGAGACCAATCTTTCCTAGAAGAATTAACTGTTTTCTCTAGGATAGATTTAATCTCTCTGTTAGAAACCTCAGCTTGTCCATTGGTCTGCGGGTGATAAGTGGCTCCTGTCTTGAAACGACACCCGTATTTGCTGAGCAAAGCTTTGAAACTTCCACTTGTAAAATGAGAGCCATTGTCGCTTATGATTGCTTTAGAAACACCGAAACGGGAGAAAATATTCTTTTGCACGAACTTGATAACAGATTTGGTAGTATTATTGGGAAGAGCAGCAGCCTCTACCCATTTAGACACATAGTCTACCGCTACCAATATGTAGATATTCCCCATAGAATTAGGGAATGGTCCCATAAAGTCCAGCCCCCATACATCAAAAATTTCAACTACAAGAGTCATGTTCTGGGGCATTTCATCTCTCTTACTGATATTCCCAGTTCGTTGGCACCTATCACATACGCTAACAAAGCTCCTGGCATCTCGGAATAATGTTGACCAATAGAACCCGCACTGAAGAACCTTAGCTGCAGTCCTCTATGGTCCATGATGTCCACCACAAGGTAAAGCATGACAATGACTAAGAACAGAGTGCATCTCACTCTCTGGAATGCAGCGACGTATAATTCTATCAGCACAACACCTTAATAGATATGGATCCTCCCAGTAATAATACTTTGCCTCTGAGAAAAACTTCTTCTTCTGGTGACTATTAAGCCCGAGAGGTACGATTCCACCTGCCAAGTAATTAACCAAATCAGCGTACCATGGAGTTAAAGCCTCTTGTAATGCCCATAGGTGTTCATCAGGGATTTCATCTTGAATGGGTTCTTCACAACCATTGGGAATTTTCTCTAATCGTGATAGGTGATCTGCAACCGCATTTTCACACCCTTTTTTATCCCTTATTTCCATATCGAACTCCTGAAGCAATAAAATCCAGCGTATTAATCGTGGTTTGGCGTCTTTCTTTGAGAATAAGAATCGGATGGCTGAGTGGTCTGTAAAAACAATAACTTTCTGCCCAACTAAGTATGACCGGAATTTATCAAATGCATATACCACAGCCAAGAACTCTTTCTCTGTAGTGGTATAGTTCACTTCAGCCTCATTTAACAACCTGCTCACATAGTAGATGACATGCAACTTGCTGTCCTTCCTTTGCCCCAAAACAGCCCCAATAGCGAAGTCACTTGCGTCACACATCAATTCGAAAGGCAATGACCAGTCAGGTGAGGTAATGATTGGTGCAGAGATTAAGGCTTCTTTCAGCTTCTCAAAAGCCTTCATACATGAGATGTCAAACTTGAAAGGAACATCTTTTGACAAAAGCTCACAGAGAGGTTTGGCTATCTTTGAAAAATCTTTTATAAATCTTCTGTAAAAGCCTGCATGCCCAAGAAAACTGCGGATTGCTTTAACTGAAGTAGGTGGAGGTAATTTTTCAATTACTTCAACCTTTGATCTGTCAACTTCTAAGCCACTTGCAGAAATTTTATGGCCTAAAACGATCCCTTCAGTCACCATAAAGTGACACTTTTCCCAATTCAGAGCCAAATTAGTTTCTTCACATCTTTCCAAAACGCGATTCAGATTCTGAAGGCATATGTCAAAGGAATCACCGTACACAGAAAAATCATCCATGAAGACTTCGATGATGTCGCCGATCATATCTGAAAATATGGCCATTACACAGCGCTGAAAAGTCCCTGGTGCGTTGCATAGGCCAAACGGCATTCGCCTATAAGCAAAAGTTCCAAAAGGACAGGTAAATGTAGTTTTCTCCTGGTCCTCCGGTGCTATGGCAATCTGAAAAAATCCAGAGAACCCATCAAGGAAGCAGTAGTATGCATGTCCAGCCACCCTCTCGAGCATCTCATCTATGAATGGTAATGGAAAGTGATCTTTTCGGGTTCCAGAATTCAACTTTCTATAGTCGATGCACATTCTCCAACCTGTGATGGTGCGGGTGGGTATGAACTCGTTCTTCTCGTTCAGCACAGTAGTGATACCACCCTTTTTAGGAACAACCTGAACTGGACTAACATATTTGCTGTCTGATATAGCAAAAATAATCCCATAATCCAGTAGCTTAAGGACCTCTGCGCGTACTACTTCCTTCATGTTAGGATTGAGTCGCCGTTGGTGTTCAACTGTGGGCTTATGATCTTCTTCCATAAGAATCCGGTGCATACATATGGAAGGGCTTATCCCCTTGATATCAGCAAGAGACCAGGCAAGTGAAGCTTTATGATGTCTCAAAGTTCTCATCAACTTATCTTCTTGCTCCCTGGAAAGTGTAGATGAAATGATTACTGGAAAAGTTGAGTCCTCCCCTAGGAACACGTACTTGAGATTTGGTGGGAGAGGCTTCAAACTTGGCTTAGTTGGACAACTTGTGGAAGCATTTACTTCTGATTTTTCTCTTTCTAGTGCTTCAAATCTATGTAAGAAAGTGCGGTGGGATCTGCCTTCCTCCAGAAACATCACTTCTTCAGCTAGTTTCAGATTCTCTTCTCTTTCAGTTGATCCTCTTGTCAAGCAAGCCAACAAAGGGTCTTCATAGAACTCCGTTTCAAAAACATCCTGCACTAATGTTTCAATCATATCAACCTGAAAGCATTCAGGTTCTGACGGATGCTTCTTCAATGATTTCCATACATGGAACTCTTGTTCCTCATCCCCCACTCTAAGTTTGACTGTTCCGGCTTGCACATCGATAACCGCAGCTGCAGTAGCTAGGAATGAGCGCCCGAGGATAACTGGTATCTCCATCTCTTCCATATCTAAGACAAGGAAATCTACTGGGAAGTAGAATTTCCCTATCTTAACGAGAACATCTTCTAACACCCCAATAGGATGCCGAATAGAGCGATCGGCCAGCTGCAGAGATACTGTGGTGGCTTTCAACTCACCAACATCAAGTTTCCTGAAAAGAGAATATGGCATTAAGTTAATACTAGCCCCTAAATCGCAAAGAGATTTTACCTCACCAATGTTTCCCATAGAACATGGTACTGTAAAGCTTCCAGGATCTTTAAGCTTGGGAGGCAACTTGTTTTGAAGAACTGCACTGCACTCTTCTGTTAGAGCAACAGTGGCATAGTCAGCTAGCCTCCTCTTGTTGGTTAATATCTCCTTCAGAAACTTTGCATAGGTAGGGATTTGAGAAATGGCCTCTGCAAAAGGAATGTTTATATGAATTTTGGTAAAAACTTCCATAAACTTCTTGAATTTATTATCATTATCTCTCTTTTTCAGTCGTTGAGGAAACGGTATAGGTGGAGTGTAAGACTGGATCTTTGGATGGGAAGGTAATGATTGATCAATGTCTTTCCCAGCTTCTTCCTCGGGGGATTTTAATTGCGTCTCAATTATGGGCTGAAGTTTCTCAACAGGACCCGCCAATTCTTTTCTACTCCGCAATGTTACCGCCATAGCGTTCTCCCTGGGATTAACTTCAGTACTGCTGGGCAGTTTCCCTTGCTCCCTCACATCGTTTTCTTTCGCTAGTTGACCAATCTGGCGCTCAAGAGCCTGAACCGATGTCCTGGTGTATTGCTCAACATTATCAATTCGTGTCATCATTTTCCTATTCTGATCTTCAACACGAAAGTCGAGCTTGCTGAACTTGTTATTGAGATTCTCCACAGAAGTTTCAAGTTGAGTGAATCTAGAATCAAATTTTTGATCAATATTGTTCACGCTCAACATGACCTTCTTCATCATCATGGTCAGATCATCATTTACATCATGGGAGCTGTTGCTTTGAGGTTGAAATCCCGGGGCTGCATTCTGTCCAGTAGGTACACCAGAAGGCTTCCAGGATTGATTTTGTTGATTTCCCCAGCTTTGATTTTGGTTGTTCTGAAACTGGTTACTTCTTTGCATTCTCCCTCCGTAGGAATTCAAGTAATTTGCATCCTCCAAATGTGCTGATTGGCCTGTGTCTGAAAAGTTCAACCCGGTTTCAACTTGTGCTACTTGTGCATGGGGATTCAAGACTGCTCCCAATCCAACTTGAATGGATGTTTTGATATCGTTCTGGAGAGTTTGGTGAAACTCACTGAATCTTCTGTCAAGCTCATGGGATATGTTTATCCCATTCACCTCCACCGTTGAGTTTCCAGTCCCCTAAAGTTGTGGGTTTCCAGCTATTGATTCAAAAATCTGAAGTGCTTCACCTTCTGTCTTGTTTCCTATATAGCCGTTGGCTCGATTGTCCACGATCCCACGACAATACGGATTCAGAGCATTATAAAAAATGTCCACTTGAAGATCTCTGGGGATTCGATGATGTGGGCACTGACGAAGCATGCTAGAGAATCGCTCCCATGCCTCTTGAAACTGCTCTCCTCCTTTCTGGGAAAAATTGTATATCTCTTGCCTCAACTTCTGAGTCATATCGGGGGTGAAGAACTTGCCAATAAATGCATTGTATACCAAGGGCCAGGTGTTGTAAGCTCCCGGCCGTTGATCAAGGAACCATTTTTTTGCTTTCCCCTGGAGTGTATAAGGGAAACATCTCAATTTCAGCTCATCTTCTGCTAGTCCCCGTCTTGGAATTAACTGGAGAGCTCCAAAGAATTCGTTAATAAAATTCAATGGATTTTCCCCCGCATTTCCATGAAAGGTAGGCAAATTATTGAAGTGGGCAGCTTTCAACTCATAATCTCGTGCACCATCTGAAAGAACAATGCATGATGGGGTATCCGCAACCTCTGGCCTCTTCCTCTCGTTCAACGTTGGTTCTGCCATCTTAGTTTTCTGAGATCTTCTATTAGCTTTGCCGGCTTTGCAGGTTCTCTCGATCTCTAGATCAAGTGGTGCTAGATTTTCAGGACCGTGTCTTCTCAAGATCATACACCGAGAGAATCTGTGAAAAGCACACTAAAGCAAAACGAAACACGGAAATAATAATAATAATATTAAAAGTAAATAAAGTGCAGAAAATTCAAACCATGCTCCCCGGCAACGGCGCCAAAAACTTGATCGGTATTTTTCTTGCAAGTGCACAAGATCGATGTAGTAATAAAAATAACCCAGAGTAAACCGGGGTCGATCCACAGAGACACGTGAATTTTCAGCACTAAAAATAAAAATGATTGGTTTGGAACTAAATCTATGATTTAATAAATAAATTGATTGCTTGATTTTTTTTCAATAAATAGGCGCAAATATAATTAACAGAGACACAAAAATTATGAATTCAGAAACAAATAATAGCTAGGGGATTGGTTTCACCATCATGATTATTCAACCGTTATCTTATCATTCAAGCCTGAATTTATGAACACGGTACCACTAAAGTATTCCTAATTTCAGTTACGACAATTAGGAATAGGCTTAATCTACTACGATCCCAATTACGGCTCACGTTAAAATAGACTAAACCCCTCTTCACCGCAAAAGCACCTAAACTATGTCATATAACACCATACATGCTTCCATTCCGGTGATTATATGTTTATTCTCAAAATACATGAATCATGCTTCAACTTTCATTCCTTCACACAATTCTGAAAAATCTATTTATATGTTGGCCACACATAAAAATAGTCAAATAAATCCAAAGGAATAAATCACACAATTCAAACTGAAATCAAAGGTTAAAGTATCACAATCATGTGGCTAATCCCCTACCCCTAGCTTGAGAGTTTAGCCTCTAATAAACATAATCACGGAAAAGTAATTGATTGAATTCATGTTCAAACTGATAAAGAGAATTGATTAGAACCCTAAATTGGAGAACTTTGAACTTCTTCCTCCGGAGTTGTGCAGCGTCCCAACGTTCTTCTTCTTTTTTTTCTCTCCTGCGCAGCCTGCCTCTGTCTATTCCCCTGCTGCCCTTTGTTCTTTTCTTTTCTTCATCCGCCTTTTTTCCCTTGTTTCCTCTACTGGTGCAGCCAACGTTTCCAAGCCCTCACATCTCAGGCCCAATTTCTTTTTCCTTTGTTTTCACATGTACGTAAGTGGAGCCCCCTTAGCAAACTGAAATTACCAATTCTAATTGTAAATTATAGCTAAAAGTATATTAGCTAAAAATGCTCCACTAGCTCTTTTGTGTGTCCAGTGAAAAAATAGGACTAGCTGGTCTAACTAATCAGCCCGGTTGAGTAGGGTCCCACTTTACTTCAGCAATTGCATTGTTTGGCTTCGGGATTTTTACATCAACGCTTTGACCTTTCATTTGAGTCGGGAGTATTCCATTTTCCACCTAAAATAATAATAAATCATTCAAAGTACTCATTAATAAATATAATCAAAGAATTGCGCATAATAAAACATAAAACTCCCAAAAATGCTCTAAATGATAAAGAAATCAAATACTATTATGGGGTATAAAATGAGACTATCAGTAAGCTTGTCCTCCGCGTTGGGGATGAGTCTGCCACCTTTGACATGTCCAAAATAATAAAGAGGCCCTGTCAAGATAGTGGAGAGTGTTTTTACATGGATGTGATGGATTCTTTGGTGGAGGATTGCATTCCTAACATGCTTTCTGATGAAGCCTTCTTTGATCTTCTTTTGGATGAGAGTCTTTCAACAGAGGATCTTGAGCTCCTCCCTAGTTTTGATTGTCTCATGATAGGTGGAGAGGAGGACTCAAGTGATGCTAGTGATGTGAAGGGGAAGGAAGAAGATTTAGATGAGGTGGAGAAGGAAAATTTTCAAACTGATTCTTCCATTATAACACCCTCTCCATTAAATCTAAAACCTCTTCCCTCCCACCTTGAGTATGCTTTTCTTGATAATAGTCCTGACCTCCCTGTTATTCTTGCATCCGGGCTTGAGCCATCCCAAAAATTTGCATGTCTTGATCTACTTAGTTAACAAAGGGAAGCTCTAGCCCGGAAACTTTAATTGATTACCGAAAATTAAATGCCGCCACCCGGAAGGACCACTTCCCCCCTCCCCTTCATTGATCAGATTTTAGAGAGGTTAGCTGGGCATAAGTTCTACTGTTTCCTTGACGGGATGTCGGGATACTTCCAGATCCCCATAGCCCCAGAGGACCAGGATAAGACCACGTTCACATGTCCATTCGGTACCTTTGCATATCGGAGGATGGCGTTTGGATTATGTAATGCCCCTGCTACCTTTATGAGATGTATGTTTGCTATTTTCGGGGATTTTATTTTGAAGTTTATGGAGGTTTTCATGGATGACTTTTCTGTGTATGGTGACACTTTTGATGAGTGCTTAGAGAATTTGAAGAAAGTCCTAGTTAGGTGTCGAGAGGTGAATTTGGTGCTTAACTGGGAGAAGTGCCACTTCATGGTTAGTGAGGGAGTGGTCCTAGGGCATAAGATATCGAGTAGGGGAATTGAGGTTGATCCGGCTAAGGTTGATGTTATTTCTAAATTACCTCCCCCTACCTCAGTCCGTGCCATTAGGAGTTTTCTAGGACACACAGGTTTCTACCGTAGGTTCATCCAGGACTTTTCTAAGATAGCCCGACCCATGACTAAGCTCCTTGAGAAGGACGCACCGTTTGACTTCTCAAAGGAGTGTTTAGAGGCTTTTGAGTGTTTGAAGGAGAAACTGGTCAAGGCACCGGTGGTAGTAGCTCCTGACTGGTCTTTGCCCTTTGAGATTATGTGTGATGCTAGTGATTTTGCAAAAGGAGCCGTTCTTGGGCAGCGTCGAGAGAAACATTTTCAGCCTATTTCTTATGCTTCTAAGACTCTCGATAGTGCCCAGGAAAATTACACTACCACCGAGAAAGAACTGCTTGTTGTTGTGTTTGCTCGTGACAAGTTTCGTCCTTATTTGATTTTGTCTAAGGTAGTGATATTCACCGATCATTCTGCTCTTAAATATTTGATGCAAAAAGTGGATGCTAAGCCTAGATTGATTCGGTGGATATTACTACTCCAGGAGTTTGATATTGAGATAAGGGATAAGAAAGGGGCTGAGAATTTAGAAGCTGATCACTTGAGTAGGTTAGAGAACCCCTTTCTTGATTCCTTGAGTGAGAGATATATTGAGGGTACTTTTCCTGATGAGAGACTCTTGCGTATCGTTGATGAGGTGCCCTGGTTTTCAGACATCGCCAACTATCTGGTTGGGGTGTTGTTCCTTCTGATTATACACCTCATCAACGAAGGAAATTTTTTGCTGATCTGAAATATTATTTATGGGAGGAACCATATCTATTTCGTATTTGTGCTGATCAGGTTGTTAAAAGATGTGTCCCTCTTTGTGAATGAGCTGAAATTCTTAAACATTGTCACTCAGGACCAACCGGGGGACACTACTCTTTCAACCGGACAGCCCGTAAGGTCTTGGAATGTGGTTTCTTCTGGCCCACTTTGTTTAAAGATGCTCTAACGTTTGTGCAGGAATGTGACAGGTGTCAACGCACCGGGGCGGTTACCAAGAGGGATGAGATGCCCC